TCCTCTAGTCTTCTCCCCCTCCCCCCACTGCTTCCCCCCTCCCTCTCCAGTCCAAAGAGCAGTGCAGGGTTCCCTGCCCTATGGGAAGTCCAGTGTCCTCCCCCGTCCATCCAGATATAGGAAGGTGAGCATCCAAACAGGCTAGATTCCCACAAAGCCAGTTTATGCAGTAGGATCAAAACCCAGTACCATTGTCTTTGGCTTCTCATCAGCCCTCATTGTCTTCCAAGTTCAGAGAGTCCGGTTTTATCCCATGCTTTTTCAGTCCCAGTCCAGCTGGCCTTGGTGAGCTCCCAATAGATCAGCCCCACTGTCTTAGTGGGTGGGAGCGCCCTCACGGACCTGACTTCCTTGCTCATGTTCTCCCTCCTTCTGCTCCTCATTTGGACCTTGGGAGTTCAGTCCGGTGCTCCAATGTTTAAAATGTTTAAAAAATAAACAGGTATACCGTGGAGAGAAGGCTCAGCAGTTAAAAGCATTCACTGTTCTTCTACAGGACCAGGATTCAGTTTTCAGTATCTACATGATAGTTGTCACTGTACTCTTTCAGTCTCTGTGGACATTAGAAACATATGCAGCAAACACAAATGCATGCAAGCAAAACACTTCTACACAGAAAATAAAATGAACCTTATAATTAATCAGGCCTGACCCTGCCCCTTGCCTGCCACATTTGGATTAGGAGAAGGAACATCAAATACCAGGACTGAACAACTCAGCTACCACTGAGGTCCAGATCCAGGGCTTTGAGTGATTTACCTCAACATAGACACTATCAGTAAGCTTCTGGAGAAGGTGGAAAGGACAAGACCTGTGGATCAATAGCCATAGGATCAAAATGAGTCTGATCAATAATAGAATATTCAAGATATCCAATAATATTCTCATCCAAGTCTAGATGAAGGTCCAGTATTGATGGTGTAGCAGAAGCCAGAGACCCTGAATGCGAACACAGCTCATTGCAATGAATATTTATAAGTAAAGCTATTTGGGCAAAAGGGTATACTTCATGACATATCTTAGCTCCCAATGCTATTATGATGAATAAATATGTTAGGGAAAGGTGAGAATAATGGAGTAGCAAAGTACTACAAGTATACTGAAACTGGACACGGTAGATGTGATGGGTATGAGGGAGGACTGGATTTGATAGAGGAGCAGGTCATTTGCCCAGAGGGATGGGTGAAACAGTTTGATTTTTTTGATTTTCCTTTGTTTTTAAAATAAGTCTACTTATCTTTCTTTTACATTTCAGCCTTCGTTTTTCCTAACTCATTTCCTCCCAGTCCCTCATCCGCATATCTCCTCTATTAACATCCCCAAACATTCCTCTTCCATTTCTGTTTAGGAAAGGGAGGGTCTCCCTTGTATATCAACAAAACATTGCATATCAAGTTGTAGTAAGACTATGCATCTCCCCATGTATTAAAGTTGGACAAGGTGACCCAGTACAAGAAATAGGGTCCCAAGAACCAATAAAAGAATCAGAGACATTCCATAAGAAGTTAGCAGTTCCATAAGAGAGCCACTCTACACAACTGTAACATATATGAAGAGGGCCTTTGTCAATCAATCCCTTCCAGGCACCCTGGTTTTCAGTTCAGTGTCTGTGAGCCTCTATGAGACAAGTTGATTCTGTGAGTTTTCTTCTTGTGTCCTTAACCCTTCTGGCACATACAATCCTATCTCATCATTTTCTGCAGGATTCTCTGAACTCCACCTTATGTTTGGCTATGGGTCTGGATCTGTTCCCATCTGTTACTTGATGATGTCACTCTGATTACTCTTGGGCTAGGAACCAGTCTGGTCATAGGAGATGGAAAGTTCAGGCTACATATCTGATATGCTAGGAGTGTAAGCTGGAGCTTTCTTACAGATTCCTGTGCGATTCTCTTGTGTAAGGCTTTTACCTGACCCAGAAATGCCCTACCTTTTCAGTACTCTCCCCAATGTTCATAACAGCATTTTTAATAATGGCCAGAACCTGGAAACAACCTAGGGGCCCCTCAACCAAAGAATGGATAAAGAACATTTGGTCCATTTACTCAATGGAATGTTATTCACCTGTTAAAAACAATGGCATCAGGAAACTTGAAAGAAAATGGATGGAAGTAAAAAAAAATCCTTAGTGAGGAAACCCAGACTTAGAAAGGCAAATATGGTATTTATGTACTTATAAGTGAATATTATCTGTAAAGTAAAGGATAACCATGCAACCATCGACAGCTCCAGAGAGGCGAGGTAGCAAGGATTGCAAAAAGGATATGTCCCTAAAATGGGGAACATAGAAGAAATCTCCTGAGTTAACTGGGTGATGGCAGGGGTGGGAACATGATGGATTTTAATGGGAGAATGTATGGAATGGGAGAGTATTTGAGATACATCTTGATTGAGGTATTTTAGGGTTAGGTAGAAACCTACTGCTAGGGAAACTCCCATGCTTCTACAAGGATGTTCAAATCAAGGACTAACTACAGTGGATAGACAGCCTGAACTGGCCATCTCTTGTAATCAGGACAATAACAGCCCACCTTGTCATCACAGTCATCATCCAGTGATGGATGGAAACAGATGCAGAGACCTACAGCAAAGCACTGGGCTTTACTATAGGAATTCAGGTGAAGAGAAAGATAAAGATTGGATGAGCCAGGTGGGTCAAGGTTATCACAAGGAAATCCACAGAAATGACCAACATGGGCTTATAGGATGCCACAGGCTCTGGACTGACAGAAAGACTGCATGGAACTGACTTAGCACCTCTTATGTTTGACACTGTGTAGCTTGATTTATTTGGATTCCTAGTAGTAGAAGTTGGGCCTGTCCCTATTGCTGTGGCTGACATTTAGGAACCTATTCCTCATAGTAGGTTGCCTTGCACAGCCTTAATATAAGGGGAGGAGTTTAGTCCTATCTCAACATGATATGTTATTCTATGTTGACACTCATGCTGAGGCCTATCACTTTCTGAACAGAGGAGAAGTGGATTGGGAGGTAGAGTTGGGAGATATGTAGGAAGAGGGAATGGGATGAGAAAAGAGAGGGGAAACTGAGGTCATGATATAAAATAAATGAGCAAATTAAAAAAGAATTTATTTCCTCTCAAATCCCACACTCAATGATGTATTACTGCCTGGAAGGTTGTGTCTCATAAATTTGAAACTGCCATCAACTGGAAAACAAGTATTCAAATGCCATTATATACGTGGGCCATTTCTAATTCATTGACCACATAAGATAACACCTGCCTTAATACTGGAAAGACCAGACTCTCCAAATGATGCCTGAATGGTGTTTCTTGAAACAAGCTCTTCCTGTACACTGTTATGCAGTGGTGTGTGAGAACAGAAAGTCTACACCACCAGTTTTAAGATGGTTATGAGTCTGGAAGTTACAGATTGTGTTTTGAGGGATAAGATAGAGGGAACTGAAGATTAAATAATATACTAAAGGCTGGGGATGTAGCCAAGTTTAATAACATGCATGACACTGTGGTTTTGAGTCCCAGTATTCAATAAACAGAACATGGTAGTAGGTGCTTGTACTCCTAGAACTCAAGAGGTGGATGCATGAGGAGCAGATCTTCAAGGTCACCCCTGACTATATAGAGAGTTCAAGACCAGCCAAAACTACATCTCATCTTTTCTTTAAAAATGTCTTTGATCCCTGGGCTTTAAGAAGAGCTAATACCTATACTCCTCAATATGTTCCACATAATAGAAAGAGAAGGGTCATTCCCAAACTTGTTTTATGAAGCTACAATCTTCCTTATAAAAAACTGCCGGACGACTCAACCAAGAAATATCACTCATGAATATGCAAAAGTTCTTAGTAAAATTACTGGCAAACCAAATCCAAGTACACATAAAAAAATAATCCATTATGATCGAGTAGGCTTCACTCTAGAGATATAGTGCTGGTACAACATATGAAAATCTAGCAATGTAATTCATCATATAAATAACCTGAAAGAAAAAAAACCACACGATCATTTTATTAGATGACAAAAAAGCATTAGATAAAATTTAACACCTCTTCATGATAAAGGTATTGGAGAAATTAGAGACACAAGGATCATATATAAATATAATAAAATTAATATACAGCAAGCCGACTACTAACATGGAATTAAATGGAGAGAACCTCAAATCAATTCTGGACCATGTAAAGAAGGGAGTTTTGGCGAGAGCTTGAGGGAATGGCATAGTTGAGATGGAGGAAGGACAGATATGAGATATCTTGATTGAGGGAGCCATGTTGGGGTCAGCAAGAAACCTGGCTCTAGAAAAATTCCAAGTTACCCACAAGGATGATCCCAGATAAGACCCTAAGCAATAGAGAGGGTGACTCTACTGTCCTTGCCCTGTAATCAGACTGATGATTATCTTTAACATCACCATAGAACTTTTGTCCAACAACAGATGCAAACAGAGACAGAGACCTGTATCAGAGCATTGGACTGAGCACCCAAGGTCCAGTTGAAGAGTAGAATGAGGGAGAGTATGAGCAAGGAAGTCAAGACCATGAGGGGTTCACCCACCAAGACAATGTGCCTGAGCTAATGAGAGCTCACCAACTCCAACTGACCGGGCAATGAATGATCATGGGATCAACCTAGTCTCTCTGAATGTGGTTGACAGTTGTGGTAGACTGAGGGGAAAATGGCTATGGCACTGGGATTTGTCTCTACTGCATATACTGGCTTTTTGGGATTCTTTTCTCTTTGGATGTATACCACGCTCAACCTGGATGTAGTGGGGAAGGCCTTGGACCTTCCATAGGTCAGGGTGCCTTGTCCTCTCTTAATATTGGAGAAGGATGGGGAGATGATTTGTGGATGACTGGAAGGGAAGTGGGAAGAGAAGAGGAAGTGGAAATTTGGATTAGTTTTTTTTAAATTAATAAAATTAAATAAAGTTTTTGAGACTATCGCAACTCATTTATTTAATAGGATACTCACCATTTCCTTTGAGGAACCATTCAAAATAATTTATAAAAGACTCTGGATTCTTAATAATGTTTGTCTTATGAAAGAAAAAATAACCAGACACAAGAACATCTCTGGGATTTCTGATGACATAGATCATCTAAAATGGAAAAATATATACATAAGGGTCAATATAGTCATTCACCACTATTATCTGGAACAATTTATATGAAATGTCAGTCAAATATCATGAAGTTTCTAAAGACATTTGTTAATTTTATTTGGAAAAATCATACTTAAGTACAATATAGTGAAGATCCTCTTTCAGACTTTAATTTGATTTACAAATACATAACAGCAAAATGACTGAGGTCACTAATACTGTAAAAAACAAAAACAATAATAAAAATCCAACACTGATTCTATAGTTGTAAAAAAACAATATCTTACAGTGTGAAAGATTATCCACCTGCTGTGAAAAATCATCTTATCTACACAGAATATTGAGTAATGTGCTCAATCGATCTGCAATATGACAACCTTTTTGGTTTCTGTAACTATAACTATCCAATATAACTCTCAAAACAATCATGGTGCAGAGCTTAAAGACAATGTGACATCACACAATGGTGAAAACAAAGACCTACAGGGAACTAAGAAATGAAGAGAGTCAGAGAAAACAATTTCCTTTGGGAAAAGCATAACTATGGGTCACATAATGCTGAATGCTTATCCCAGAAAACATACAAACAATGAACATTGTACAGACAGACTGAGTGTACTTAAGTATTTATACATATGTAAATATGTATAAATATACATATATAATAACTGTCAGTGAAAAAGAGACCATAAATTTGAAAAAGGAGGGCTATATAAATGAATGTGGGGGAAGGGGATGGGGAAGTGATGTATATAATTAAATTGCAATAATAAAAAATAAAAGACATAAATGAAAAGAAAATAAATTTAATCAAAAATCTCCCTTCCAAAAAAAGCCCAGGACCAGATGGTTTTAATGCAGAATTCTACCAGAACGTCAAAGAAGAGCTAATACCTATAATCCTTAATGTTTTTCACAATATAGAAACAGAAAAGTCATTGCCAAATTCCTTTTATGAAGCCACAGTTACCCTGATACCAAAACCACACAAAGACCCAACCAAGAAAGAGAATTACAGGCCTATCTCACTCATGAATATCGAAGCAAAAATTCTCAATAAAATACTGGCAAACCGAATCCAAGAACACATTAGAAAAATTATCCATTATGATCAAGTAGGCTTCATCCCAGAGATGCAGGGCTGGTTCAACATACGCAAATCTATCAATAAAAGGATACTTATATTTTGAACCAATGCCTTTGTAACATTATTGTAGAATTTCTCTCTTTAATCCTCAATTTCTCCATTCAAGAGTTTGCCAAATTCAGATAAGACACAAACACATATTTCTGAATGGTCATAACTCAATTGTGATATTTTTAGGAGAGATAGTTCCTCTAAGAATGTCTTTGAAGTTTAAGCATAAAATAATATTAAGTTCTGTGGTGGAGGGACTTGCAATAAATGTTCTTTTGAGAAGAAGCTATGAATATTTCTATCCTTTCTGTAGTTTTTCTATCAGGTACATGGGTGATTCCTGTGGTTGCGGATCTCAATGGACAGCTAGACCCAGCAAGACATAGTGGATACAGATGAACCATAACTGTTGAACATCTACATGTTTCGATGCCTGTTCATGCTGTTTCACCTATGAGGTAGTCTGTGTTGGGTGATTCACCCACTGTGCATAGGGTATTTGTAGAATCAAGATTAGCTAATTAAAAAAAGAATAGCTAATTAATTAATTAATTAATTACTTTGGTGACAGTAAAACAGTAGTATTTACTGTACAATATAATTTTAACTCCATTTGACATGTATATATAGTTCCTTGATGCTCTAATGTGTTGTTCCACTTTCTGTCATATATCTGCCAGGATCACTGTGTGGTGATTGACATCATCGTACTTTGATTTAGTCTGAGGAGGGAACACATCAATATCACCTAGTGCATGAGAATCTCAACTTTCCTCCCTCAACCTACAAAAATCAGAGTGCATTTAAACAAGAGCTCCAGGGTCTGTCATGGTAGGATAAGTTCAATGAGCATTTGACCAAACATTTCTCAATCACTGGATGCTGACCTTGGCCTTGGAACTGAAGAAAGACTTGGGGAAAAGATGGAAGGGAAGATGAGAGCTGATGAGGCGTGGTCCTTCCTGATTGGTTAAAATTGGATATCCCACTTTAGTCTCTAACCAGGGTGAGCGATTCCAGTTAGGCACAGATTGAATCCACTGGGAATTCCCCTTGGTCTGAATCAAGCAGACAATCTCAATCAGCCAGTTAGTTCCTGAACAAGAAGGAAAATTGATGGTGAGTAATTTCAACATTATTTGTTAAAAAGC